GACTTCTTATTCATAAGGCCAGACTTAATATATACCTTATCTTCCTACTCCTCTTGAATTCATGGAGGTTGGAGAGACAAAATTCCTTGCATTTTTTACTCCATATGTGTTTTCTGTCCTTATCAAAATTAGCCTCGTCTTTTCACCCAAGCTCCATTGCTGCTGAGGCCACTTTCCCATGTTAAAATATAGACAATATAGTGGTTTTTTACCTCCTAGTTTCCACCTTTTGAATAGTCACTGTGTGATTCCTACTTTCAGACTTTGGCTTGAAGTGCAAGCCTGCCACAAGGATGTGCCATGTAGCCCGGGAAGAAAACCAGCAGATCTTTTATCCTTATTGCCTTGTCTCTCTGGGTCACAGAGAAGCAATAGCCGCAGTTCAAGACTGTGTTCAAAGGAGAGATGTCAGGACTGAATTGTTTTCTGGTGAAGGAGGGATGGATAAAATATTAAATGCAGTCTTCTGTTTGCCCTTATTTTTGTGTTTCCTGGCAAGAATATCACATCATATTTCCATGGTTCTTTTACTCAATGTCTTTAAAAGCTGAAGTTTCGCGGATTTGTGAAAAAAAATTGCTTTAATTGTTTGACATTAGAAATCCCTATTATAAATATTAGAATAGAGTTTGGTATAGCTGCTTCGTTCCATGAAGGCAGTTCTGTGCAGCACAAGGAACAGCACACTTTGGAGAGTTACTCAGTTTGATTCTCATACACCTGCTGCTGCAATTAGTGTAACTTAGCGCACAAAGACATTTAGACTTTCTGAGCAGTCGGGGAGTTTGTCCATGAAAATTTGCCCTTGGGTTTGTGTATTTAAGAAAGAGGTGTGTCTGTCAGTCCTTTTTTGCAATAGCCTTTACATCTTTTGGGCATTTTTGATCAAATATAACGGAGGGGGCTAGCTAAAGGGAGAAAGAGGTAGTCAGGAGCTCCGGACTGAATTTTAAGTTTCTACAGCTTTCATAAACATTGGTGGCTGAGGTACGGGAACGAGAGAGCTGCTAGTATCTCCCCTGAGGAAGAGGCTGCAGTATGAGCTCAAGTGTTTGAGAGTAAGTTAGGCTGCGGGCTGGTGAGCAGCAGGGGCTCAGCACCCACCCCGCCGGGACACGAGGATGGGAGAAGAGCAGACCCCCGGGTGGTTTGGAGACTGTTTGGGAGGCAGTGGGAGGTCTGGGATATGGGTGGGGTGCTACAGTGGCCTGAGGATGTTTCTGGAGAAGGTAAGGGATCATGAAGGGTATGTAGAAGAGCTGTGCTTGCGGTGAGAAGTAATAGCACTGGAGAAACAGGTAGGAAATGAGGCTCCATTAGTCCCTCTGTTCACAGGCCTATTTGTTTCGATTTCTGTTCTATCACTGTTGAGAATGCGTGTTTCTTTGGCAGGTTGTTGCATGTTTACCTAGTGATCTATCAAGTCTTTGGCTAGTATTTTATTTTGAGTCATTTTCACTCTGCTTGTCCAACAGCATGATTTTTCGTACTGAAGACAATTGTAAAAATAGCAAACAAGCTGAGATGGGTGGCCCAGATCTTGCATCCCATCTGACATAAATTCAGAATTGCTTCAAAAGGTGCATGCTGAACCAATAGTTACTCTGCTGCTTCTTCTTAAGCCGTAATTTCAAGTTAGGCTGCTTCCAACAGCTGAATTGTGCTCCACAGTCCCATAGTGTTATTTAAAATACAGTAAGTTATATATATCTCAGCTGTAGGTATGTGAAGCGCATTAAAGCCCATTGGAGTTGATGCGCTCTGTTGCAATGGTCTTGGATCACAAGTTAACAGAGGGCACAACACCGTGGCTTTTCTGCTAATTCCTGCATTTGATTTTTGATGAATTTCTCTGCCCCGCTGTTTGCGGAGCTGGGCTGGCTGCTCCCCCTCCTTGTTCTCCTGCGAGATTTGCAGCTACCACGGGCGGTGGAGTCACCTCACCGTTGCTCTAGTGTCTTCCCGGAGCGTAGGACTGACGCAGCAAGGCAAAGGAGGGAGCGGGGAAAAAGGAAATCGTGAGGCGGGGTGGGAAAACAAGTTGCTATAGCTCATTTATTTAAGTCATTTCAAAATGAAGAGGCAGAAAGGATTCCTGTAGAAGTTAAATGTTTTTCTGGTCTGGAACGTGAATTAAATTTCCCCTCAATTATAAATAGAAGTTCACTGATAGGAAAACTTGTACTGATGTATGTTGGAGTGGGTGTGATTTGGTAATAGCTTGGGTGTGGCAGGCCAGGAAATAAAGGATGTATACAATTTACAACTATTTATATTTTTATTGGAGCTTTTATCTTTGTAACTCTTATTAGTTGCCATAGATACAGACAACATAGCGCTTGTTTGGGTTAACGAAGTCTGTCATGCTGATAAAAAAAAAAAAAAAAAAAGTGATTTTTCATAAGACAAATCTGCGTTACTTCAACTGCACTATTCTTGGCAATTAATTTTAACTATGCTAGGACTCATGTATAAAATTTAAAAATTGTGGCATTGTCATATAGAATATTGCAGAATAAGGTTGAGTGCATTGCAGTACCAGGCAAATTGGTCTTTAATTTAAGTTAGAGATTGTATTGATGGGTATGAATTATTGTGCTGTCAGTTTAAAGCTGTGCTTTTGTGCTCTCTTAAATCAGTCACGTGCTTTTTTTCACCTGGTAGAAATGAACTACGAATGTTATCGTTTAACTGACTGGCTCATAAGTTCAGTTACGAATGTACGCAGCTTAATGTCATGTTATGATGTCACATTAAGTATCCCAGCTATAGAAATCATGCTCCTCCTACCCAAAAGTTCAGTACCTCAAGTGATAAATGTAACGAATATGATATATCTCGTCTTCATTCCAGTTGCTTTGTCCAAGAAATAGAAAGCAATTATTTGCTGTAAATGTACCTCAAGTCATTAAAGAAATGGCTTTGTATGAAGAAAATTTTGTAAGATTAAGTAGCTTTTCAACTAATATTTGGTGTGTGCAGGATGTTTCTAGCCCGGTATGCTATGGAGAGTGTTTTTAAGAGATTCTTGGCATGAGTTTAAGATGGTCACATATCTGCCGAGTCTGTATGTCACAGATCGGGAACTGTAATCAGCATGGACCTGAAGGAAGCATTGCTGGGGCAGGGAGAGAGATTCACCATGTGGGGAAGAGAAAAGCAAGAAAAATATTTTTGAGTCAGGTTGGTTTAAAATAAGTATTCATGGTGCTTCCTTGGAGAGTTGGAAATAGCGGCAACAGCCCTGGCAAATGGATGAGTGGTCAGAGCGCAGGTGAGAGGCAGTGTAAGGTAGGGTATCGTTCCAGGCCTCTGGAAGATAAAGAGTACGTGTTTAAATGATGCTATTTTTTTTGAGGAATGCAAAAAGCATTTTGGCATAAAGGGTGAATTCTGAGCACCACTGAATATATGGATCGTACATTGGGGGATGTCTGGCTTCAGCATGGATGAACAACCCTTGCAGCTGCAGCACGTGATTTTCCTACGAGCAGCGAGGTTAGGTGGTGAATCAATTAATCTATTAACAAAAACGCCTCCGTACTGGAGAACAGAATCCCCAAGATCAAATGCTGTACGGTGAGCGAAGGTTGGGGCTTCTCCCTCGCTCGCCTCCAAGCTCAGCCACATTCATCTCGCGCATTAAGCCTTTTGTGTTGCAGTTATAACCGAATAGGATTTGCCCCACTACTGTAATGTAATGATCAGATATAGGAGAAATAAGTTGAGCGGTGTAGTTCTGCGAGGGTCTGACTTTACTGGTACGCAGAGAGAAAAACAAGAGAAAACAGCGGTATGTCTGTCTTAGAATATGCCGTATATATTGTTGTTTCCCCTTTGATCCTCTAGTAGTAAAACTATACTTAACTGTATTTTTAATTGCTGGAATCAAGGTCGTAGAATATATATTTCCTGGGGAAACAAAGGTAGGTTATTAAAAGCAGCAGTAAGTAAATTTGGGATTTTAAGTTTTGATGACTTTGCCAGATGTCATAGAGGTTTGAAAAACAATTTAAATCTTTTTAGAGATTAAATCTTTTTTTATCAAAGTTAGAACATCTTATTTTGTTATAAATCAACTGGAAATAATAAAAAAAAAGGTTTCCTGAAGATGAAAAAAAGTCTTGAATATATCAGTTTATCATGTTTCTATTCTAAACTCAGCATTGACTGTAGATAGTCTGTAAATTATGTGTACTAAATTTTTAGATACTCAGATCCTAATGTTCTCAGACCCCGATCAGTAACTGAGAAATATAGTTCAAGTGAATTTTTTCTCTATATAGAAGGCCAAGATAAGACATTAAATTCACTAGCTTTGAACCAATATTGAGAAAAAAGACATAGCTTTAGAAAAATGTTATACTCGTGTTTGTCTATATCATCACACAATATCTGAGTCTTCCTTGTGATTTTTCTGTTTAATTTTTTCATCTCTCAGGTGAGAATTGCTTGTGTACTCTAGCCAGACTGTTCAGGACAGTGTCCCACACCAGGCTTTCTTCTCCATTACACCCTGGGGAGGGACTCAGGTGCCCTTGGACGTGGAGCTGCGGAGGTTCCTGCAGCAGCCACGCACCAATGCCAAACTCACCTGCTTCCAATCCCAGACACAGGACGTGGCTGGAAAAGGACTGCACACACATTCAGTATACCAGAGATGGCTTTATCTTCTGCAAAGAGTCTTTGTCCTAAGAAAGGCTCTTGAAATTAAGTACGTCTCTGGTTAACATGACTGCAGCAGGAAGATTAGCCAGATGTATTTTTCCCCAAGTTGTGAATGAACAAGGTCTAGTCTCACAAGCGAATTTTCCCTTGATTTCCTTTGCTCAGGTTAACTTGGTGAGACTCAGAAGAATAGAAAAAAATCCCATGCAATGCTTTCAGCATTGAAAATCCGTTTAAGTTATTTAAAATAATCCAGTAGTTGGTAGCTGTAAATCTGAGAGCAGGAGAAAACTCTTTACCGTTTCTCTGACTTTGCTGTGTTTTCTTTGCAGGGCCTCAGTATGTCCGGTGGAAGTCAGGCTGGCTTGGGGACTCCTTCATCCAGGCAGTATGCACGACAGAAAATAACTCGCGTAAACCTCAGGGACTTCATCTTCTACATGGAACAGGAAAGAGAAACGAGCCATTCTCTCCTGCTCTATCGAGCTCTGCTTAAATAAAGCCAAGAATTATACTGATATCTCTCCATACAGAAGCTCAACTTGCATTGAAAAGCTGTCATTTTAATGTGCCTTCTATTTTTTTCAGAAGTCAATGTTTCTGTAGTTTGTTTTGCAAAATTGTTAAACACATGCAATAAATTCCCTTTATGTAAAATAAAAAAAAAATGTGCAAAAGGTTTTAAAATGTTAAATCCACAAATATAATCAATTTCTAAGTCTTACTCCATTTGGCCATTTTAGATAAGGCTGAAATAGACCACACTGAAGTCACACAAACGGAAAGACTGACAGCAACGGCTTGCATAAACCATCTCACACCGAGACCGACTGGGAAAGGTTCACAGGATTGGGATCTAACCATGGTGTTAACTTGTACGTTCGCTTACAGTGCTGGGTTTGTTTAACTTTCACTGGCACTCTTTCCACTGACTAACCGTGGTGATACTTTTTGTTATTTTAGATTAGTTAAAATTGCAATTTTTTGCACAGCTAAAAGAATAGCCACTGCACACTCTCACAAATTTTATATATTTAGGATTTTTGCTTTTACTGCACAGCTCATTTCCTGAGCGATTTGCTGAACCAAATCCTAAGTGTATGAAATCTGTGCGTTCAGATCCCAGCTGAGTTACCGTGACTAGCTTCCGGTTGTTTTCTAAACCTATTCAACCTTTTGCACATTTGTAGCAGCTGGTGAGTAACATGAATCAAAGTTGGGTTTTATTTTCTAAAAATATCTTAATTTATTTATTGCAAAGAGTATGGTTTAATGATGGTTTTAAAAGAGAGTATTGTTCAGTAAAGATTTTAGAGCGTTCTATAAGGATTTTTAAAGTCACGGTGAAGGAAGTTATTGGGGGGCCGGTTCCACTCTTACTCGAATCATGAGAGCAGCGGTAAGTGGGGGAGCCCAGACCTGCCGTGCGGCCGGGGCGCTCGCCGCAGTGACTTTGCTTTGGATCATTGGACCTGAGGACTCCAGTCCAGAGAGGCTCATAAACCAGTGCATGACTCTAAGCATATGGGTAGCTTTAAGTACTTAAAGGTGGAATGAATGCTTTTTAAATGCTTTGCTGAATTGGAATTTAAGGGGCCCACACCAAAGCCAAGCGAAGGGAGTGTGAGTCTTTTAAATGGGATAGGAATACTGAGCAAGCAGGTGGGCACGCAATGTACTTCAAAAATAACAGTATTACCAGTAACCATGGAAGGGAGACATTTGCTTATTTATCTTTTCAATTTTTACTATGTTATGCTTGCCACTTTTTTGAGGCAATTTTTTTTTTTTGATGGGAAACCATAGCAAAAGCACAAATAGAACTATTTGTCCAATAGTTTTAAAAACAAAAGTTTTAATTATTTTTTAAGGTTTATGAAAAGCAGAAGAAAATTTATACTGCTGCTATTTAGCCAAAAGATTATTCATAAGGTATTTAAGGCCAGGAAGTGTAAAATTATGTTTTAAATGTATTGATAATTTGTACATATTGTTTATAAAGGCCTTGTGTTTATTAGAATTACGTTATTTTGATGATTTCTGTACATACTCGTAAATACCCCCAATTTGTGTGAAAACATACGCCCTTATTTGTACTTATTTTGTAAAGAAATAAAACAATTTACTAAAGTAACACATCGAGTGACATACAGTGTTAATTTATCAAACATGAAATTCACATTGTCTTGTAGTTCTTAAGCACTGTTCAGAAACATTTTGCATTAAAATATTAACAGAATACCCACAAAGAAATATTAAAACCAAATAGTTCAATGTTTTGTTGTGCTGATTCTTATCCTTTGTCAAACATCTAATAAAATTGTCAACAAACCTTGATGCTCTTAATACAGTGAATGAATGCACTCAGCAGTTGCTTTTTGAAAACAACTTAGTCCAAGAAGCACAACACAACATTTCCTCTTCTCGCCGGTTTTCTGAGACCTGGGAGCACAGCGGCGTAACAGGCGGCTGGGAAAAGGGCTACGTGACTGGTGTTCTCCAAACCGCAGCTGCAGTGCTCAGCTAAAGAGAATCGCAGCAATTTTGTTGCATCCAAGTAAGTTAAAAGACAGGCTCTAAGTACTTTTTGGCCTTCATAACAAAAACATTTGCTGCCTGCACACCACAGTTTTACTGGAGTTTCGATGATATTTTAAAACCTGTTTTAGTGACACTGAACAATGTTCTTAATTAAGTTATGTTGCTATGGTTTAAGGCCAGAAGTAAAAATTTGAATCAGTTTTGCTGATATTGTTGCTTAAGAATATAGGGAAATAAGTAAAAAAGATATAAATGAAACTGTAATAAACTTTAAATAAGTGACCTGAAGTTACTAACTAAAAGAACATGTCCTAGCTTAACTTTTCTTTTTTTAAAGGCATATTTCTTCTAACCAGGTGATTGTTTCCACATGTCTCGCTTGCCTTGGTGCTATTTTGCAGTTAATGCTGTGATGTCATGGCTCAAACTTTCCATCTCGAGTCCCCATCTCGCTCGGCTGGCCCAGCCTGCCCTCCTTTACGATGCCACCTTACCGAACGGCCCTAAGTACTGGCGCTGCTTTATGGAGCTGTAAAAAAAATATGGCGAACACCAAACTGAAGAAAAACCACCCAACCGAGCACAAATACTTCCCCTGGTGCCCTAGGTACCTCGGAAGGGGCTGCGCTTAGGAGCCCGCC